ATTTTCCATTAAAATAACTTTTTCTTATTGCAAAGATTACTTATTAACTGAAAAACTTGGAAAACATAGACAAAAACAAAAAACCCTGTCACCTCATCGCCCACAGAGAACATTTGTAAAAATAAATATAGATAGATAGATAGACAGACAGACGTCTCCTGGTGCGTGCTCGCCCAGACTTCCCTCCCGAGGACGCGAGTACACCCTGTGTTTCTTCCTTTAGCTGTTGCAAGTGCTACCACCCTGTGATCAACATGCTTGTTACTCACCTGCTGTCCGGCCTCTTCTACAGCACTGCTTCTCCACATGCACACGAACAGACCTGCTGAGTTGGTCCAGCCTAGTAAAAAGTATTTGTCACCCTTACTCAAGTTGCCTTTGAGTAAATATATGTAGGAGTGAACAATCCTCCTACAGAAGGCATACAAAACGATTTCAGAGGACAGTGTTCCTCTGCTGCGTAAGGGTCCTCACATGGCTCTCACTTGGTTACGTTCAATGGATGTGTAATTTTATATACACGTTGCTAGGATTCAGAATTTTCAGAGGGAGTTTAAGGTACAGCTGTACTTTCCCGAGGACCTAATATTTCCACTAGAAATAAGTTAAAAATTACCAATTTCTCAGAATGTATTAAACTGATCTCCAATTCAAGAATTGCAGAATATATATTTCACAATAATTACTTATAGGTACAATAACGGCCATTGCAAAGTAGGCCGTCGAGAGGACAATTTCACTATGTACGCTGAAACTTACAACTCTTTGCAGGTAGTAAATGCGTTAAAAGTTCTTAGAAAGTAAGATCTCTGCCTCTTGTACCTGAATAGGCAGCACTCTTCTCTACTTAGAGGCGAACTTCAGCACCAGGTGGATGGAAATGAATTCATAAATTCTAAATTGACCGCGTTCGTTTTTCTACTTAGGTTGTCCTCGGTTGTCTTGTTTTATGGCCCCTCATCCCATTATTTGCCTTTAAGGAATTTTTTTAACTTTTTAGCTATATTTTAACACTAAAATTAAGAGCTTATAGCTATGGTTTTCTTCCTTGTGAATGGTAAACCAACTTTCCTCCTATTGCTACCCCCAAATTACCTTTAATAAACATATTTAAGAAACAGACTCACAAAGTTCCGAGTGAGTTCCAAGCAAGTCAGTGGATGGCAGGGTTTTTTTCTCTTTTCAAAATAAACTATCTTCAAGCTGCTTTTATTATTTTTACTATTAATTTTTAAAATCACATATAATGGCTACTTTCATCTGACAGTACTTTTTCTCCATGACCAATCCACTGATAAAGTAACTGTTCAGTAATTTGAAAAATGAAATCATCCAATGCTTTATCAAGCAAGAGAATTAAGAATAGTTAACTTCTAAATACTGGACCTCAACATGCCTTTGTTATTCAAATCAAAACGCAGTAGTAGTCTTCACGCTTGTTACAATGAATTTCAAAAAAAGAATAATCTACATTTCTAAAACTATTTATATAGAAAGACAAAAGAGAACATAATTAAGCTGGAGTCTTTCCCATATCATTGTCTTTTGGGGTCCAGGCAGCAGAACCATGATGTAGGTGAAAAAGTACTATGGCCAGGTTCCAGTACATGTGATTTAAGCTGAAGAATAAAAAGTTGAACCATGAATACATTAACTCAACTCATAAGAAGGATGCTAACCAGAGGGTCTCCATCTCTGAGACCAAACATGGGCAAACGAGCTGTAATGGAAGCAGTGAAGTGGGGGTTATTTATAAAACAGTACTTTCCAAAATGTGTCAAGAAGCTAAGGACATCCATCGCGTCCACCTCTTAGAGAACAAGGCAGGCTGCTCACTGGAATGCTTCTTGAAGGAAAACATTCTAGAAGGAAGGAAGGTATCTTTCTTTACTTGAAGGCCATCTTTCTCCCTAGGGGCTCAACCCTTTGAATTATATCTCATTCATTCTTCTCACTGTGAATCAAATCCTGTTCCAAAGGTTACAGACGCTGTATCTTCCATGACCTAACTCCATTGTAGAATCACTCAGGAGTTAGGAACTCATCCTCTTCCCACTCCACCCCAAAATTCAGCCAAGATTCCTTGATACAGGGCTTCTTTTCTTACTGTATCTCGAATATTCAGAGCCATTCAAGGGCATTTATTCATTATAACATGCAATGAAGTGCAATTTAAACAAAAACACCTCTGTAATCAGGGAATGTAAAGGCAGTGTTGTTGTTCTGATGTCTGGTTAAACAGCCTGGGGCAAGGCTCAGCTTTGGCTGAGCTATATTCCTATTTCCTTTTGATAATAAAAAAAAATCAAAATCACTAAAATGTTCTGAGAAATAAACTACAGACAAATCTACTTGGGAAAGTGAGAGAAAAATCTCTTTCAAAGTCTGTTGGAAGGATGGGAAGTTTTCAATTGGCTATATACACTTTTTGGATGTTTCAACTTCTGCAATGATTGACATCTAGCGAAGCCTTTCAAATTTTTAATACCAATATAAAAGCTGTTACCTGAAAACTATTACATTTAATATTTCAACTAGTAATCAAGTCATAACTTTTTCAATTTCAATTTGTTCCTGTACATGCCTTTTAATAGGGATTTGGGCTTCCAAGTCACCCTCTCCAATCTCTGTGCAACAGAGTGAGCCTTCTGCCTCCGTTTAGCAGAGCTGGATGGGGACATCTCCGCACCTAACTGGGTGGCTTTTAAGAGATTACTTCTCTGCAAAGGCACTGTCCCATATCACATTGCTTGCGGTGTGGACTCAGCTGTGGTTAAAATTTTAAATTGAAGATGAACATTTACCACCAAAGAGAACATAAACAAATTTCAGGACTCCTGTGTTACACACATTCTATACATCATGTTGGCTTAATGTGTTTGTGATGAAGAGCTCTGTTTTGAAACAACCTGAAATACCATATCCAGAAATAACAACTGACTCTGGCAAAGAGAGGTAATTTGGGGTCCCTGTGTGCTTTACAATGAAGCCAATACAATTTAAAAAAGAATGAATATCAACTACACAAATTGACTTCAATAAGATTAACAAAATCGAGGAAGACTGAAATGTCAGCTAAGTCAACCAGTCAAATAAATTACTCTCTGCTATTTATACAGATGAAATATAAAACAATGACTTTACATTTCTATTTGTTTCCCAGCTACTGAAAGAGTAAACATGATCACTTATCAAATTCCACTTAATATTTTATCTGCAAGAAGAATTTACTGAGTAAAATGTTTAGTGGCAGGATTTCACGTTTGCATTCCATCAGGTTACAACATAAAAGTTATTACAGTTTCTTCCCCAGTGTAAGCATTCAGTATGTGCCTTTTATTTACATTCTGTCACTTTTTATTTCCTAACTCTGTATGTTCAAGAATGAAATTGTACTGGTGTTATGTAACAATATTTCACATCTGCAACACACATATTGATTTCTCTCTCCCCTGAACCTATGTCCTTGAAAAATAAACACAATGTATCCAAAAGAACTGCCTTGGAGTGTATGAGGAAGAGTATAGACGTGTAGAAATAAAAATCGAAAAACCGTTGTGTGGAGGTCTATCTGTCCCGTTGACAACAATCCCCATGATTTATTACCAAACATAGGCAGCCAACTAAGTACACAACTTAGGTCCTAGCACTGGCCATGAGAAATTGGTAACGAAGTGGGAATTAAGGCTTTAAGGTCTCTTACAACTAACGTGATTCAAGAAAACCCAAAGCAAACAAACCGTAAAACTTGCACAAAGTGCTCCAAATAGAGCCTTTTTGGCAACCCAAACTGAACCAAATGACTCGGGTGGACGATGAAAATAAACTGTGCGTCTATAAAGCCCACAAATGACGACTGGTCCAGAAAATCAGGAATTACCAGCATCTGCCCTTTCCATCTTTTAATGTTCAAAATATCTAACTACGACTTTTAGTCCATGGTCCTCACTCATTAATTGACTAAACAAGATCCTGGCTGCCTCTCGATGATCACTCCTTCCAGGCTGACCTTATACGACAGCAAACTGAAACGCCCCTCCACGGAGAGGGGCGAGCCCGGGAGGTAAGTCGTCCAAAGGTGGACGCGTCTGGCTGGCTATTCACTTAAGCATCCGAGGGGCTACGCTGGCCAAGGCTGGGCCACGCCGAGGCGGGAGGCGCAGCCCGGGGTGGGAACCCCGCAGGAGCCGCG